AAGCGCGGGCTATGGTCTGGGAGGTCGTCGCTAATCTCCTCGAGGGACTTGTACACGACCTTGTCGTCGTCTTGCTTGATCTCGTGCGTGTTCTTATCAATGTAGTCTATCAAAGTAGCATAAAGTCAGCATCTAGGATATACGCTTTGTTGGTCCGGCGCGCGAGGTATCCCGTCGGGGCTAGTGTTTGACATAAACGAGACATACATACAAATGACAGCTTGAGCACTGCTAGACCGCGAGGTCCCGAGGCGGAACTTGCGCAGGTGGTCCTTTGTCTCCTGGGAGAAGGTGTAGAGCCGCGATTCGGAGGCCTAATGGTGCAAATACAGCCAGTCAGTCTGGATGTTCTAGTGACAGTTGCGCTTGCGACTGGAAAGCTTGCTTACGCACCATGGTTGGTCTTCGAGGAGGGGTTGGCCAGGGAGGAGCACTTTCAAGTCTCGTTCGAGATATGCAGCGAAGGAAAGCGAGCAACGAAGTTCTCGAAAGCCCGGAGGATCGAAAAGCTGCCGTTTACAATACTGTTACGATATCCCCAAGGGTCCTTGAGGTTTATTTGGTAAGGTAGGGTAGCTTTCGTTGTCGCAAGCACTATGCAGTATACACTAGAAACCGTCAGGCCGAAAGTCAAGCCACCCCTCCCCCGCCTCCGACAGAGTTGAGACCAGCGCAACGAAAGCCCCGCGCGCGCCATCTAGGTGGGGCCCCACCGAAGTGACCTCACCCATCCTCCCGCCGGACGGGAGCTTTCAAGTCGTCCAGTCCTTCCGATTATTTGCCGATGTAAGCCATGCTCTTCTTGTATACCTAAATACCTAAGGAACCTTAACTTGGGTTGTTGAGATATAGCATGTTCATATTTTTTTATAGCTGGTGATACTATCTCTGGTGATTTCTTTCTATACTGCTATGTGAGGGTTCTCTGGAAATAATCAAGTCGTTGACTGTCCAACTGATTGACAGAACGCGGAAATATGTCACGAGAAAAGATTAAGCATCTTGCAGTAAGAGCTGGGAGTGGGATGAATGTCTGGGATTTACCTATGTCTCTGATTGATCATCTCAAAGATCAATAGAAACAACGCAATGGATAAGAACCAGTCACAGCAGTCGCGGCAGTCTTCTAGAACCCATTCATCATACCGATAATGAGAGCAACAGTCACGTGATCCCATACACCGCAGGACCGTCCTCCACTCACCCCCGAGCCGGAGCTCGGAGCCTCCAAAAGAGCTCCCGCATCTCAACACTTGATTCGTGCTTTCTGACGCCTTACTCTCGATTCCGCTCTCCTCCTCCTCCTCCTGCCCCGGCCCGTACCCAAAGAGAGACCCTGCATCACTCTCTTCCGCCCACTCTAATCAGCTCATGGCCCCATTGCCGTAAACCTTCCCGTTTGTCGTGACCTTTCCTCTCCTTTTACCGAAACCTTCGATTTCTTCCCAACATATGACATCATCGATTTTTGTGAGACGAAAATCAATCGGTTCGAGATAAGTTGCGTAAACAGAGTTGAGGTGCACACACACACACACACACACACACTTGCACCTCATTCCGTATATACACGCCACTTCACGTCGGGTATTGTTTTCTCATGTTCGCGCGACTCACCCAGCTGTCTCGGCATCTCCCCTCGGCCCAATCGATAACACAAGCCGTCAAGCCCGCCGCTTTCCCAGTCTATTCCGGCATCGCCCGCAGCAGCAGAATCATGGTTTCGGCAGACGAGCGCAACACCCGCACAATTCACACGGCGGCGTGTCTAATTATCGGAGATGAAGTCCTCGGTGGAAAGGTGAGCGAGTCTCAACGACGAACTTAGCCAGTGGTATGTAGATCCAATGAATGGCTAACATTTCATCGTAACCCATAGACAGTTGATGTGAGTAAATGGCACCTAGGAAAACAAGCCAATTTGGACTGGCGAGCAGTCTTATGATGACTATTCGTATTGACTAATCATCATAGACCAACTCGGCTTACATGGCCAAGTGGTGCTTCTCTTTGGGCATTGTGAGTTGTTCAACATGTACTGAGTGCTTCATAGGAGTGTGGCTGATCCCGAAGGCAGAACTTGAAGAGAGTCGAAGTCATCGAAGACGATGAGAGCGAAATCGTCGAAGCCGTCAGGCGCATGAGCGATCGCTACGACTTTGTGGTAACCAGGTGCGTCCCCTCAAAATCTCAATGACACCAAGGCCCCAGCTAACATGATATTCTCAGCGGCGGAATCGGTCCAACGTAAGAAACGTGGAATCCGACCCTTGACGTGAAACTGGATGGTTGACTAGGTAATTTCACAGACACGACGACATCACATACCAGTCAATAGCAAAGGCCTTTGACCTGCCCCTCGTCCTGAACCAGGAAGCCTTCGAAAAGATGAAGAAGCTCTCCAAGCCGCACCCGGGCCAGCCAAATTTCGACTGGGACGTCGACTCGCCCGCCCTGCAGGCGAAGCTGCGCATGGTCATCCTCCCCACCGACGAGAAGCGCGACCCCAAGAAGCAATTCGTCTTCCCCCACGAGGACCTCTGGGTGCCCGTCAACGTCGTCAACGGCAACATTCACATCTTGCCGGGCGTCCCGCGACTTTGTAGGTTCCATCTTTCTGCCCGGATATGGTTCTGATCTAACATTGCTGGGAAACAGTTGAGAAGCTCCTCGACGGGTTGAAGCCAGGCATCGTGCCCCGGCTCACCGATCCCGAGGGCAAGGGCCTCTGCCGCGTGCTCATTTCTACTCCGCTCCCGGAGAGCGCCGTCGCCGGCTACCTGACGCAACTCGCGGCCAAGGTCGAGCCCAAGGGCGTCAAGGTCGGCAGCTATCCCCGGTGGGGCCAGAACGGCACCGTGACGTTGGTTGGAAGGTAAGTCATCAAACTGCGCAGAAACGTGCTCGCAGATCATAGCTGTGGATATCTCCAACATCAAAGTTCAACTTCGGATGGCTGACTTTTTTTTTTCGGCTGCAGGGACCAGGCTTACATCGAGAGCATCGTGGCCGAGGTTGTCCAGGGTGTCGAAGGAAAGCGTGTAAACGCGGAGGGTGAGGATGATACCCAGGGCGAAGCAGGGAAAGATCTCGAATAATGTCAGCAAAACCTAAATCTCAAATCAGATAGGAATCAACCCCCACGAATCCGAAGGAAGTGGCTCCGTTGCGGCAATAATAATCTTGTTCGGGATATCCGATTGTAACTCTATCATCTGGAGTATAAAGTGTTGCGGATCAATTCTAGGATGGCGTACTTTCCGATACTGGAGCAGCCTACAGCGATTTGACCACCGTGAGATCGGTTTTCTGTGAAAAGTATTCAACCGTCCCAATATCTTTTCAATGGGATCAGCTGTCAACCTGCCAACATCATCCGCCAGCTATGAATGATGTGTTTGAGCCGTCGAACAAACTCTTCAAGAGACTTCACGATCTGACTTGTGGAGGCGCGGAGACCGCACTCGGGCACGTGGTGGAGCCCTTTCAATGGGCCACAATTTGTGACTATGGCAGAGCTCTCAGTATAGATATCGCACATATCCTACATGGCCTGATTCGCAGACACACACAAATCGTTGCGTGTGCATAATCAATCCCATCACTTCAGCCGCGAGCCTGCGACCAACAGCCCACCCGCGATGCGAGGCGAATGCAGCTAGAGAGTATTCGTGAATTGCAGGCATCCTAACTCGAATAAACCAAGAGATCGTTGTTGGACCCATGTCGGACGGAGACGATGGCGGATTGCGCTGCTGCAGGCCAGGGGTGGATCGAAATGATCCTCCAGGGCTTCTAGAATGACAAGCTTCTGCTGCAGCTGTTCAACACACCACGGGCCTGCAGTTCTCGGATTGCTAATTACTGCGTATGATGGCGGCCCGCGAGCGAGATATGCCAGCACGGTTACCTACCGATTGGAGACTGGCTCCGTTTCGCCAGGAGATGAGCTGTGGATTGGGGCCCCGGTGCTATCTCTGACGGTGACAACGTTTGGCTACACCTCCGTCTCGTGACGGCACAATGGGGCCGTCGCTCGCGGATCCTTATCGACGACGACGACTCTTCCCCATGGCTGAGGAAACCTCTTGAGACTCCCAGCAACCACTTCGGCCACGCTATGCCTGTTGCATCGAGTCAGCCGAATGTCAAGACTCGAAAATCGATGGAAGGTCAGTTCATGCTCCACAAAAGCATGTCTGCGACTACAACCCAGTCGTCGCATTGTCGCCCTCCGGACATGGATTTGCCATCCATTAAGTGGCCTGTCCGGAACTTCATCCATCCATGTCATGTCGCACTGTGCGACTGACCGAGATTGGGATAGGTTCTCTAAAAATCTCGTGGAAATCAAATCGGTTTGATATGTCCAAGGTGAAGCACGGTCCGAGAAGAGACCATTGCTGGAGAAGATAGCCTCGCGCGGATGAAAGGACGACACGGGACTATCGCCGCCGCCTCCTGTCTAATGGCCTCATGAAGGCGATAGTGCAAGGTACTCCTGACCAGTGCCGTGCTTATCCGCCGTTCTACCCTGGTGGCCATGCTTGCAGAGGCCAAGCTTCTAGAAACCAACGTGAACCCTCGCTCGCTCGAACTCCTTTTGGACACTGGCAGGACTGGTATGGCGATATGGAAATTTGTGGCTGCGCCTAAACCTGGGGTATTGGCAGCCTGCTATCCTGGGGTATCCCCAATGTGGATTAGATACTGATGTTGATGGCCACCGAGCATCTCTCCAGTTGTTTGAGCAGGTATGCGCCGTGGAAAGAATATTGTTCGAAGCCCTTCAGCGTGCGATAATGGCGGCTTCCACCAGCAGATCAAAGTGACATGACTTGCATCTTTGCTTCGGCAAGTGGCTGTACATCCAACAGCCCAGACTTCAGAAAGCCAGAATCCAAAGATGCAGAGAAACATGGCCCGAGAACACCCCAGCTGCCTCCACTTGAAGGCATGGAAACACCGCGGAGGGACGAAGAAAAAGCGATCTGAGCGCAATGTCGCCAGAGATCAACCAAGTTGATGGTGGTGTTTGTGGAAAGATGATCGGCGCTGTCTTGCCAAGTTGCTGGTCGGGCCATGCAAGCTCGGGCAGCGCAAGAGCCAGTATGAGTTTGGGCCGGTGCGAATACCGCGACTATTCATGCGCTATGGCCTTGAAGCGTTACCGGTCAACGAATCAAAGCTGCCTCGCGCCAGAGCCACCAGTCGCTACAGCCTACCAAGCACTGCCAGGGGAAGGATTCTCTGTCTCTCGATGATCAAGGAGTATGTCGTGGACTGGTCGCTCTCACTGTTTAACTCCATCGTTTTACATTACTAGAGGATTGCCGCAGTATATATAAACGCTACCCTGCCCTTAAATTCCGTACTATTTAACCTTAACCCTTTTTTTACCTATTTTTTCTTTTATTCTACCCTCTCCCTTATTAAGGGATCACTAGAATTATAATTTTAATAGCTTATTAATAAGCTAATATTACTATTTAAAAATAAATAACTTATATTTATATATAAGTATTAAAAATCTTATTATTATAAAAATAATAATAAATATATTAAAGTATTTAAAAGAGCTTTTTAATAAATTTTTAATATTATTTAAAGCTATAGTCCTTAAGTTATAAAAAAAAGCTAAAGTATTATATTAATATAGCCCTATTTATTTTATTAGTATTAATAATAGTTTTTTTAATATAAAATATATTATTAATATTCTATAACTATATTATTATATTTTATAAATTATACTTAATATTAATAAGGATTTTAGTATTATTTTTTAGTTTATTTTTTAGTTTTTTTATTAAAGTTATTATTATAAAATTAATTTAATTATTAATATTTTAATAAGTATTTTAACTTAATATATTTAAAAACTCTTATAGCCCTTAAAGTGAGGCTTTTAAAAGACTTATAATTAAACTTTTTATTTATTATAAACGAAGCTATTATAATTAAAGCTATAATATTACGAACCTTAATAATAAGTAGTTAATAATATAGTTATTTTTCTTTTATAATAAGCTTAAAAAAGTATTTTAATTTAAGTATTAAGTAAGTATTATATTATTTTATTAAAACTATATTTTTATATTTATAATTTAGAAAGAATTAACTTTCTTTAATAACAAGGTACTTAGACTGGTCGCTCTCTGTGCGTTGCATGGTTAAGACTCGTGAGATCTGACGTGGGCCACGCAACGTGCCTGGCGGTTGTCTGACTAGAGGAGGAGTCAAGTCAAGGCGTTGAGTTATGGCAGAAGCAAGTAAGCCAAAGTTCAGATGTCAGGGCTAGGCGTCTTGGCTCAAACCCGGGATGCAAGGGATGTAGGTAGAAGCAACATCGTTTCGGTCCGTAGTTTTGGGTGTGGTTGCGGCTAAAGTTTAGTTATATCGATGTCGGATTCCATGGCATTGAGAAGCTTCAGAATGCTTTGGACAGATGCACGCTCGACCCATTCTGTCATAATGACAGAACCTCTCTAGCGACTTTGAAGGCTGGGGTGCAGTAGTCCCAGTTGCGCCGTTGATACAGGGAGCTTGAGGGGTTCAAATCGAGCGCTGACTGCAGTCTGGCCCCAGTACGGCTTCATTGCCCAAAGTGCACCGTACGAAGTTGGACAGTGGGTGGATCGTAACCATTGGCCCCTCATCTCTTCTTCACTGAGGACGGCGTTCCGTATTCAACAAACCTTTGCTGCGAGGTGCCGTGCTGAAGTATTGGACGTAAAGTTGAGCATGTTGTTCGAGCTGGCTGAACGATACTGATTAGGACAGTTGACTCATTGAGCTCTGATGTCTGCAAGTGTGGCGCAAATCCTCTCAGTACGCAAGATACGATCATGATCTGTTGGTCTGTTTCGACGAAAGATCTTTGATGAACGTGATTCCCCCTCGCGCTCCTGTTTGAGTTGTCGGGTGTCACCATTACCGCGAGTTGGTCTACGTTGGCAAGGGTTTAACTGCAGTAGTACTGCGTAGTCTGGCACCTGGTAAATGCGCGTGTACCGTTGTACGTGGATCTGCAATGGCTTGCTGAAGCAAAGCCGCATGAGGTGGGCCTTTGTATCCGTTGATTATAGCTGCGTTCAACCCCTGGCAGGCATACGTACATCGTGGTGGCAAGGGGTTCACAACGTCGGTTGAGAATTGCCGGATTGTGACATGGTGTCCAGCACGTTTTCCCAGGGTCCTGTATCTCGACAACATGTCCGTATGCGTATGAAGTGATCAGCGCAGGCTGGTAACTTCAGACGATGTCGTGTAAGCTCAGGTGAGAACAGCCAAGATGCCATTCCACATTCCAGCGCGTCGTCCCTTACTGCTGTCATGCGTAGGTGAGGGCGTCTTTGATGGATATCTTGGGGTGACGGGTGCGGTGGAAGGGAGCATGTGCTGGGAACTCTCACGGATTCTCCGTGACCTCCGGGCCGAAGTTTAGTTTGGAATGGGATGTGTGCAAGTTGAGCTGAGCCAGCTTTTGCGCCACGAACTGGCATAGAGATTGATCGAGCGCTATCAGGCTGTTAGGCTATACATGTGCGGAGCGACATGATCGTTCTTTCAAGAGTGGGCTATACGACGAAGATTCACGTGGACGTGGAGACCCCGAAGAGGCTCAAGTCGGCGCGAGGCGCTGCCGCAAACAGACAGACTTGTAATTACCTAGTGGAGAGAGTTTAGAAGGTGGCGACTTCGCTTTTGTCGCGTATGCTCAGCGCCTGGGCCATGGTGAGGCGTCGGAGACTGCAGCCTGCAGGCAGCTCACCAATTGTTGTTGCATTTGATGGGCAGGCTTTTGAAAGGCGGTAAGTAAGGTTTGGCTGCTAGCAAGTGAAAGAGGTTATTCGCAGATATTCGGGTGACGTTGGACAACGGGAACCGTAACAAAATGGAATAAATGTACGTATCTGGATGTTGACCACTAATTATCAGCTGGCTCGATGGATCTCATTCAACCTCGGATCAGCAAAGAAGGTCGTGCGAGTCGGGTTCTAGACCGCAAAACCAGTATCGTACGCAGGTAAAGTGAGGGAAGGCCTCTCTGTAAGGTTGTGTAAAGTGCAGAGTCTATCAAGCGGATACGGAATACGGAGGGCGTAAGAGGTGCAAGGCTGGAGACATGGCATTGCACCTGCCGTCCAACATACGAATCCTCCCATCCTTCGTACCTGCCTGGTGTCGTAAGAATTCGTACAGTGCGGAGTCAAACAGTAAAACATCAGGAAGCCCACGTGGTCAAAGCTCTCTGCTCGCTGGAAGGAAGGAACCACTCACGCCTCGCCCTCTTTAACTACATACGGCCTTGTCGCCGAGGAAGCTCACTTTGAAGCTCATTTCAGATATGACGACGAGACGGGACGGAACGGAGACATCACAACTTGAACGCATCCCATGTTGACCATTGACTGAAGGATACGCATCAACTTCTTGTCACCAGACGCATGGCTAGGGGTCGTTCCAAAGTGGTAGATTGTCTTGAAATGTGTGAGTGCATTGGTAAGACCTAGGTTTATGTCTTGGTCCTACGCGTCACCATCGGCCGCAGCAAGCCGCGGACACAGTCGACTTGAGCATCTTGACAATTCTTGGATGAGGTCTCTTTCCTGTTCACCTATCTTATTGAGGGTAAGACTGTAGCAGGCTTCCCGCCATATGGCAAGGCAGAGCGCGTAACGGTGACAAGGAGTCTAATCGCTAAGGACCAAACCCATACTGCGTACAATGGTACACGGGTATGCAAGGAGGTAGACTCTACTATAACCTATCCTGCCGTGTTCTGCGCCGTATTATTACTGTAATCAGAAGTGTGGAGCTGTCGAACCGCAAGATGCGATACGTCCTCTCACATCGGGCTTTCTGCTCTGATGAGGTGACCGAACAACCGGGGCTTATATCCGGACATTGTATTAGGCAATACGACATGGCACCACAACGGGAGCGGTGAAGAGACCGATGATTGCGTACCTCATTCGTTCAGAGCAATCCATGCTCTTATTGACTCGGAGAGGTTGGACTGCACTCATTTCTGATAACAAAAAGATATTTGTCTGCTGGTTTCCCATCTAGCTTTTTTCGTGGAGACGGTGACTGAAGTATTTCCTGAATGCGATCTTGATAGATTACATAAGGAAAAGAAAACTTCGAGCTTGACGCTTAAGTGCATCTCTACCCCACCTTTCCCTCTGGTTCTTGCCCCTGTCAGCACTTGGGAATTGCCGCTGGGGGGGTCACTCACTCGCATTTGCAGCTGTTCCTTCCTTTCCCCTGTCTGATAGATACGCAGTACGTACCGTTTCCTCCTGGTGCCTGAGGTGGGACCCCCCATCTCGCTCCCACTCGCTTCCCACAGTTCCACTCTCGCTCGCACGAACCATGCGCGACGCCACCCCTCTTTTTTCTTTCCCTTTGGTCCACTCACCAATTTATTCCATCGTTTCTGCGCGTCTTCTCCCCCCTTGCGCTCCATCAATGGTCCTCCCACCCTCGGCCGCTTTGCTGCTTTGTGGGCATCTGCAGGCGTCTGCACCAGGCCTCTTTTTTATGGTTCCAAGGGACCCCCCTGCTGCATCCAACGCTACTGCACCAGAAGGTCGCCGCGATAAACTCCCACTTGCAAGTCCCTCTTTCCCATCCCCGGTCAACTCTCACCTTCACTCGAGCCCTCGGTATCGTCTAATTTTTCTGTCAATTCCCTTTGTCTGATGGGATTGTTCACCTTTGCCGCTGTTTCCATACCCAGCGCAGTGCGACCAATGGAGGCATGTGTTGAATAGTATCACTATCAACTCTCATTGCGACCCCAGGTTCTTGCAAATGATTAGTATTGATCTTCTCCTATCCTTCCAGATGGGCCCCATAGAATCATTCAAGTGATTGGTAATGGGAGGCGCCTCGCTCGCAAATAGCGCTTCCACGTCGTTATCGATCTGCTTCCACCTGGCCCGACATGAGCTTCGTGTATCCGTAGCGCACGTCGCGTACCTCAAAGTTCGCACAAGGCATGGGCGGACGGAGGCAGTGTGAGCGACGTTGGTGAGGGTGTGTGCCTGTGCCTTCTTCGATCCAAGTCTTCCAGGTCGTCGTCAAATCATGGACCCAGCGCTAAACCCCAAACTGGTGCCAGCCAACCGTTCTTGTCCACTGCGGAATAGAGGGGTGACGAACCAGACACAAGATATCGAGATGTCTTGGCTTACCTTAGATACATGGCATTGTCGACCGCGCGATCTCATCGAAAGAGCGCCTGGTGTGACAG